CCCACAAGGACCCCAGCAGAATGGAGTTACAGGAGGAAATCAATAGACTTCAAAAGGCTCTGACAGCTGCTGAACAGCAAGAGCACCTGGAAAAGGTAGCCAGAAAAGACCTGGAAAGGAAACTTTCCCACACAAAATTACTATTAGAGCAGCAAATTCTGAGCTCTTAGACAAAGTTGCCAGAATTGAGACTCTGATCCAGCAGCTGAACAACACTCAAGACAAACTTGACATGGTCCAAAGAGAACTCAGGTACTCTTATAGGCTGCAAAAGGAAACACAGTGGGAGAGACACCCTACTCCTGCATCCTCACTCAGCAGTGCAAACTCCCTCAGGTGCACCAAGCTACGAAGGGGGGAGCCAGCACTTTCTGCTTAACAACTCAGCAGACAGAACCATAATACCTCCAGCAACCCTTCATACATTAAATCTTTTCATAAACAGACATATGATCGTGATTAGGACAGAAGTAGAAGTCAGTTGTTTGTCTGTTGTGTGATCTTACACAGTGACAGTGAGGAATCAAAAACCTTAAACCCAGCATAGAGGGGTTCAGTGAATGTGGTGTTGAATGTGTGTAAGTGTGTGAGTGTGTGTGTGTCAGAGATGCTGTAGAAGGACAAAGTGCAGGCCGGCCAGTCCAGATACACTCCTACTCTTTTAGAGGGGGAAGGAGCAGGAATGTTGTTGTTCAGATTGTTGTGCCAGACAACAAATCCATCAATAATGCAAAAAAGACACCAGGACTTGTTATTGTATCCAAACTTACCACCAGTCCCTTCTTTGCTGATTGTTTTGTAGGCCACTGCTATCCGAGCCCAGCCAGTCCGCTCAACCTCCCAGTAATGACGTCCAGTCAGACTCTCTCGACACAGAACCTGAGGAATATCTTTAAATCTCTCTGGATGATCAGGATACGGCTGCTGCTGATCCACATATTTCACCTCTCCGTTCTCAGACAGAATGAGTTGAGTGTTTGCTGTGTTTGGATCCAGTGTGAGATCACAGAAATCTGAATGCAAGAAGACAGACAAAAACAGTTGTATACTTTTGTTTGTTGTCATTAAATGTGCAAGAGTGTGTCAGAGAAAGAACCTACATTTTCGAAGTCCTGGTTGGATCCTGAAAGGCTCTGCATGGTCCAAACTACAATGACATACACACACACGCACACGCGCGCACGCGCACACACACACAAATATACAGACATAAATAATTATAAGTAGTTGGAAATGTTATTCACATAGAGAGCATTAATAAAAAATCAGTCAAGTCCAATCCATTTTTTTAGTGTTTCCTCACATATCATTCAGTTTACAAAGCTGTTCAATGTTAGTGTCTTCAGAACATAGTGGACAGCTTAACAGGAAAAAGCTTTAATGTCTTCATAATTATTATTTAGTTGTAAACAATTTGCATTAAGTAACTCTGTAAAACTTAATTTGCAATCTCTATCCTCAAATTCTTTGATTTTTAAAATTCATTGCCTTTTTCAGTTTATTTTCAGCAAACACTTTTTGTCCATTTTAGATTATGTAACAGAGCAACTCTGTCCATGTTGTACTTTCACTGTAAAATGCTACTAAATATATAAAAACAGCATTAAAAAACATGGTACAACTATATTTTGTGAAGTAACAGGGATTTAATTAGTGAATGCAGAGATGAGAAGTACCAGAAGAAGAAATTGTGATTTTAATTTCTAAGCAATGTTTTGTCTCGTGCGGCAGACATTAAGGTTTCTTAACTTGCACCCAACATACTTGAGTATCTTTAGTGAGCAGTTTGGATCCTCCAGTTTGTCAGAAAGCAGCTGGACTCCTGCTTGTCCTGGGTGATTGTAGCTCAGATCCAGCTCTCTCAGGTGTGAGGGGTTTGAACTCAGAGCTGAAGACAGATACTGACAGCCTTCCTCTGTCACCATACAGCCAGACAACCTACAGACACACAAAACAGTGAAGATTACATCAACTGTGAAGCCCTCAACTCTCAAACACTTGAGGAATCATTGCTGATCTCAGTTTAAAATTAATGTCCTTACTGCCGTTCTCATGCCATCAAGGTACTGTTTATACATGAATTCTCTGAAGTGACACCAAAGATCATGAAACAATGATCAGTCATGATCATGCATCACACAGACAGACACAGAACATTCACTCTAAAGTGAGTGTAAGCCAGGAGGAGTAAAATGCTAAAATGCATCTTGAAATAGGCTATTTTAAACAATTTTTAAACAATTTTTAACTTGACACAGCGCATTAAAATCCTAACGCTGAGTGCTGAACTTTGGTCATGCCAAAGAAAATAGTTTGCACACTTATTATTATATTAGTGTAATCTGCAGACATTACAGAAAGATGGGCTCCCTTATGGAACAAAAATGTATTGGAAAATACTGCAAAATATAATGTGATATATTACATTTGCATATATGGGAAACTAGTGCTTATATTTTTCAATATACTGCAATATATGGATTGACCATGTATGGCTATATATTGATAGATACATATAAAATATTTATAAATAAAGACAAAAACAGCATTACATGTAACATTCATAAATTCATTATTGTGCATATATATTGCACATACAGGTTCCCATATAAATGTGAATGTATGAACACACATAAACACACACATTCACAGAATGAGTTACAGCAGGTTTCTAGTTCCCAGCATACTTTGCTTCTGACTGTTAAAGGAGAACATTTTAAAAAATTAAGTGTTATTTCATATGTTTTGCTCAATATTAATATAAGGGGAGATCTGTTAGTGTTTAATGTTCTATTATTTTGGAATTTAAAAGGGTTTCTGGTATGTCTGAGTTTTTGGGGTTACTATTGTGCTGAAGAGCAGAGCCTGTGGTTAGGTTGACGACTGGCCGAACACCAATAAGACTATATATTACTTTATTTAAAAAGTAATGGCTGTGCACACTTCAACACAGTTATCTTCTCTTTGCTAAATACTTTAGTACATACAGGTGTGATTGTGCTGTTGTTAACTAGCTACTTATGAAAATAAGAAACATAATGTAAATATTTCTAAAATATAAGAAATATATTATACATGTCTATATATGTGTGTATATACTGCATGGGTAAATATATGTGCAATATATTTATACACATGCAGTACCATATCACATGTTATGAAGTGTATCACTGAATATAAAACTACATATATTATAATATATAATTAAATATATGGTCACATATTTTTCAATATTTTTCAAAGCAGCAATTCCTTATGTATTATTCAATATATTGTAATATATTAACAAAATATATTATTCTGTATTTTTTCAATATACCGTTAAATCATTTAATATATTGATCATTCATATCTAAGGAAATATATTTTCTTTGCGTAAGGGCTTTCTGAGTCGGATATTAATATATCAAGTCTTCAGGCAAACCCCTCATACTGCCCTCACCTCCTGCGTCAGCTTGATTTCAAATATTTAACTGGGCAGAAAGAGGGGAAGAGGGAAGGTGTTTGGGGACAACTGATCTTAAGGACCTGTTGCCTTGATAAGAACTTGAGAATTTCTAATGTTCTAAAACACCTTAATATCTTCAGCTGACAGTTTGAACTCTTCAGTCCATCAGAGAGTAGCTTCACTCCTGAATCCTGCAGGTCATTGTTACTCAGGTCCAGCTCTGTCAGGACAGAGTTTGAGGATTGTAAAGCTGAGGACACAATTTCGTAGGACTGACCAGTGAGATTACAGCCAGCAAGACTGAAACAGAGCAGAACACAAAATAATTAAATTCTTAACCCCATTCTAGAATTTCAATGCATTTGAATCATATCTGCTTAAAACCAGTTAAACTCTGTGGACCCGGATACGGG